AAAAGTGAAATTATTTACATTTAAGTGAACAAATTATTTACCTCGTTATTTTTAAGGAAAACTTTCAGCGCTCTAATTGTTTTTGGTTTTTGTTTTTTTTTGTACGTTAGCTTTCACCTTTATGTTTACGATGCTTTATGGAAAATATATTAAAAAAGAAATTAAAATAAGACTGTTAAGAGTGAGATTAAATTTCATAAGAAAGAAAGGTATCTAATTAATTTATAGGTACCTTTCTTATGAAATTTTATCAGAAGTGTACATAAAATACTATAATTTTATGTACATTTATTACATTTTACTGTGTTATTTGTATTTCCATTCATTTTATTATTAATTTTGATATTTCATTTATGGAAAAATGTCATAACTGAGATTAATATAAAAATAAGATCATATAAATTTCATAAGATGATACTGATACTTGTAGGTACCCTTCTCAGTTGAAATTGAAAAATCAAATTAACTTCTCCACACGTGTTTCGCAAAAGTAAAGGCCTTAACAGCGGAGAACAATGCTTAACTCAAATAACGCAACTTAATTGTATTCTGGTTGGTCTTCCGTACTTTATAATTACAGCCCGATTATAAACACAAAATTACATTTCTTAATTACTGCGGGTCTTCTGATTAGTCAAAATGATACAATTTACAACGCGCTAAAAAAAAAGATCTATCTCATAAGGACACTTAGGAAACCCGATGCGGCTTTTAACTAATTTTATAATATTTTAACAACTTAAATGTAAAAATCTATTATAATTAAAGAAATAACAAATAATTGTATTAAAAATTCATTTTTCATCGAAATTTTTTTTTGCTTTCAGAAAATATTGTCCATATTCATAAAAACAACTAAAAGCAAATAAAAGCATTTGAAATTAAATAATATCTTTGTTTTATTGAGTTTTGTATGTTACAATTCAGAGCTGATTTTCAGGTGGGGCGGTCCAATTAAAAACAAAAAAAAACATGATTTGCATTCCTCAAAGCCTTGTGCTTTTTTAACTATTGTAATCACTAAACCCGATGCGATTGAATTTCTAGAGTTTTCATAAAATTAGTTATGGGGGGGGTAATAAATATTTTAAAAAATATTTCTACCATGACTTTAATAAAAAAAAAAAAAAAAAAAATATTTATAATAATTTCGATCATCTGTGAATAGTTTCTGAAAGTTTCATTAACATCCGACAATTATTTTTTTTTTTTTGCAGATTTTCCAAATTAATGTGTGTCATACAAAAAAAAAAAAAAAAAAAAAAAATTGTCTATGTTATTTTACTAGTTCCGGTGATACAAAGAGAAACAAGGTTTTTTTAATCAAAATTTAGAATGTTCTAAAAAGAAGGAAAAATTTTTTAAAATAATTAAAAAAAAACTTTGGTCTTTCCTCTTAATAATAACATAAACATTTAGACAATAAAATTTTGTTTTTCGTCAAGTTTGGCGTCTTTTTTTCATCAAGCTATGCTGCTTTTTTTAGCGATTTCATGGAGGTACCTAAAATAAAATTTATTTTTTAAAATTTTTAGTAAAACAATTTTCCATTTTAAAATAATTAAAAAAAATAAATAAACATTTCTGAAATTTATTTTTTTTTTTAGCAAATTTAAAAAATTTTCACTGTTAATCTTATTTGAAATAAATATTACTTAACATAAAAATAATTTATTTTTTTTAATTTATTGGTTAAAATTTTTTTTTGTTTTTAAACAAAAATTGGACATTTATTAATTATATATAATAATTATAAATAAAAAAAAAAAAATTTTTAGGTTTTTTCTTCTTTTTCTGAAACGTAAAATGTGGCCACCTTTTTTAAGAAAATTTTTTTAAAAAAAATTTTAAGAATTTGTTTTAATTTTTTTTCTGCATCCATAAATTAATTCTGGGATTATATATATTTGAAAAAAAAATCTTTTTTTTTAAATTTTGAACAAAAAATGACTTCAGATTTTAAATTGAAAAAAAATGATTAAAATTTTTAGTTTTTAAAAATAAATATTCCATGAAAATATCAAATTTGATATCTTTTTTTATTTTCTACTTTAAAAAATTTGATATCTAATTTCATTATTTTCTTGGTTTTTTATTATTTACCAAATGCTAAAATTTATTAAAAAATGTTTTAAACATTTAAAGGATATAAAAACAAAATTTGTAATATGAAAAAATTAAAAAAATTAACAAATTTATTTTATAAAAAAAAACTATAAAGTTTTTTTCTATTAAAAAATCTTGTAAAAATTCATTTTTCATTTTGAAAAAATTTTTTCAAACTTATATTAAATTTAATATATCTTTTTTTTCTTATGAAAAAATTTAATTTTCTAATTAAAAATAATATCTTAAATTTTTTTTTTTTTTTTAATTTTTCAATTTAAAAAATTTTCAAAGATCTAGGTTTGATTTGAGAAAATTAAAATTCATATTTAAATTTTCAAAACTTTTTTTTTATTTAATTCCTTCAAAAATTATTTCTCTATAAATTTCTCAAGCATTCATAAAATTAAATTAATGGAAAAAATATAAAAAAAAAAATTCAAAAAATAATCATTTGTTTTTGAATAAGTTCCTGGAAATTTTTATTAATAAAATATAATTATTATTTAATTTTACAAGAATTTCCAAATTAATGTGAATAACACTGGGCAAAAAATTTTTAAAAATCTATTAAAAAAAAATAAAAAAAAAAATGAAAAAAAATTAATTTTTTAAAATAAAAATTAAGAATTTTTAAAAAAACAAATTTAATTAAATAACCAAAATAATTATCCTCTTAATAAAAACATGATTTTTAAATATTTGACTGTTTAAATTACATTTTTTTTATTTTCATAATGGTATGCTGATTTTTTTTTTTATTTAACAGTTGTGGAATTTCAACCTAATAAATTGATTCTTCTATATAAATTTTCATTTTTGAAAAAATCATCTTTTCTGAAACCTCCTATCCTTTGTAATAAAAAAAAATTTGTCTTTTCAATGTTTCTCTAATTCCTTTCTTGTCAACCAAAAGATTTTTTTAATTTATTCACTGCTTTCTCTCCTTCTTAATCTATTTTTTTTAGAAAAAAATTGTTAAAATTCTTTCCACTATTATTTGACCTAAAAATTTCAGTTGTCAAAATCTGATTTTTTTGTTAAAAAAATCCTTTTTTAAATAAAAAATGAAAAATAAACTTCATCAAATACTTGTATTTTATTCAGTCCATATTCTCAAAATATCCTATTTTTTATGGACTATACAATTTGTTGACTTTCAAAGCTCTTCATCTGTTCAGAAAATCATCCAAAATTCAATGCAATTCATTTGGAAAATATTTTAACAGAATTCATATGGTTTCTGAAAAGATAATTAAATTGTTTTTTTCTTAATAATTAGCTTTTAAAAGGACATTTTTTTCCACTATCAGAATGTGCATTTGTTTTGTGTCAATTTTTTAATTTTAAAAATTGGAAAAAAAAAATTTTTGTACTTGTTTGATTTTAAATTCTCCATTTTTTAATAAAATTCACTTTAGCTACAAATTACTTTTAATATTGTAAAAAATTTTTGTTTTAATGTAAATTTAAATTATAATATTTATTTTAAAAAATTTAATAAATTCTTTTTTTTTTTTATTTTGTTAATTGACAATGTGACTTTAAAATTTTTGATAAATAAAAATAAAATAAAAATTGTCAAAATTTGAAAAAATAATTTTGAAAAATTTTTAATAATTATTTTTGAGAATATGAAATTTTTTTTTAAAACCACTAACCTTTTGTTTATAAGCCTTCAAATCATAAATTTACTAAAATAACTGTTTCTAAAATTTTTAATTTTTTCGAACTTTAAATAAAAGTATTTTTATCTTTAATTATCAAAAAAATAAACTTTTTAAAATATGATACCTAAAAGTTTTTGACTTTTTATATTAATTTTGAAAAAGTATTAACTTCAGGATTTTTTTCTTTTATCCAGTATAGGTTGAAATCTATTTAAAATTAATTTATTTTTTTTTTTCTTTCTTTTACACTTCTTGCTTGATTTTTTCTCTTCTTTGCTTTTTGCTTCTTTTTGTAAACTTTGATCTTCAATTCAAATTTAAACAAAAACTAATCAAAATCTTCTGTCACATGATTAAAAAGAATAGTTGTTTTCTATCTGAATTAATATAAATTTTTATATTCTCTTTATATACTAAAACTATTTTTTTCTTAATATTTTCTTAAATTTAAAACGGGATAAATAATGCAACAAAGAAATGTATTTGTTCCATGACAAAATATTCATCTATAAACTTTAGTCTTTGAAAAATTCAAATTTATTTTTCCTTTTTAAAATTTTTAAATTTAAAAATTGAAAAAAATAATTTTAAAACGAAATAAATTTTGTTTTAAAATCTACAAATTAAAATTTTTATTTTTCCCTAACTTTTTAAAAATTCAGAAATTTGCTGCTTACATGAAAATGTTAATTTTCTAAAATAGGTTAAACAATATAATGAGCTATCTAACTTTTGCAAATCAAAATAATAGAAAATTTTTTTTTAGAAATTTACGATTTCATTTTAATATATGTGAAAATACTGTCAAAATAATATTTCTTCAAATGATAGTTTAGATTCATTTTTTGGATAATAGAATGTTAAATCTATATACTCATTAAAAACCCACTTTATCTATTTAAACACCTGAATTTTTTGCAAAATTTTAACTCCTCCAGTTCAATTATTTTTGTAACAATGAGTGGTCACTGAAAAATTTATGATTTTAACCTCTTCAAAATAATTAATGCATAGTGTGCAATCCTCTATTTTTCTGATCAATAAAAACTTGCATTATAGGAAATTTGGAACTGTTTTTATTTTCTTTAATTAAAATCAAAAGTCCTAAATCCACAATTAAAATAAATCAAATAAATTATTTTTAAAACAACCCCACATGCAACCCTAAAAATATTTAAAAATAATAATTTTTATTTTTGAATTTTCAAATTATACTAATAAAAAATGTTAACTGCACTGTCCTCAGATTTAACATAACACTCTTCAATAATTTTCAGCACAAATTTGTCTGAATACATGATTGATTATAAACTCTTTTTAAATAGACAGTTTAAACCTTTAATTTTTTTATTGTGACTTTCAGGATTATTTTACTCTGTGGGTGAAAATTATCTTAAAATTTATAAACAAATCAATAATCACATTGAACAAAATATATGAAATTTTTAAAAAACATTTTTTTTAATTATAAATATCTTAATTAAAGTTAAACATCAGAACTTATTATTTTAAAATAACCAACAAAAACATAGTTAACCATTTTTTTTTTCTGAAAATCTATTTAATTGTAATTATAATTTCCAGTTATTAACCAATGTTTTTTTTTTTTACTTTTCTAATGAATGTATAAACCAAAATAGTATCAAGCAAAATATTTAAAATTTATCTTTGTTAAGAAGTTTGAACAAAAAATTATTTCAATATATATTTCTATAAATACCATTGGCCTTTTATATTTATTTTTTGTTTAATTCCATTTTATCTTTTTCATTTATTTCAATGTTTATGAAAAATATATTTTTCAACGTATTTTTTTATACTTTGAAAAAATAAAAAACTAACTTTTTAAGCTATTGCAATGTTCCACAATTTTTTTTTTTTTTTTTGTTTTTTAAGAAAAATTCTACCAAAAAAATTTTTTCATCTCAAAATCTTATTGCATTGCCTTTTAACTCCAAAATATTTCGCTATGTTGATTTTTAAATAGTAGTAGAGTTAGTAATACTTGAATTTATTTCACATTCTAAATTAAAGATATTTTTTCTCCTTTTTTTTTTGTAAAAAAAATTTTTCTTTGCTTTTTGCCTGGGTATAGGACAAGTTTTTTTTTTTTTTTTTAATGAAAATTGTTTGTTAAACAACAACAAGATAGACACATAAGACATCTTATGGGTTGCAAGTTTATGTTCACATATTTTTCATTGTACTGAATCTCTACAATTTGAATAGAAGAACAATCTGCCAGAGCATTTTATGAAAAAAAAGATGAAGATATAAGTATGTCTGCTCCTTTTCATCTTAGAACCTTCCATGGTTTTACAACATCAGACAAGGAATTTTTACGTCTTTTTATCTCCACAGATTTTATTACAAATCTTGAACAAACCTCTTCTCTATTATGCTAACACGACGATTTCCAAAACAATAATAATAATGGTTGGGGGGAAAATAAAAATTATTTTTACAAATGTAAAATACCATAAAAAAATCTTTATTATATAAACTGATGCAAAATAAAATGGTAACCCTCTGAGTATGTGTTTCAATCTTCTCATTTCCTTGTCGAGGTAATAAGGTTGAATGGCAGTAAATGATCACAGATACAGATCATTGCACAATTTTAAAATGGATGGTTGTATAAACTATAAGATTACACTGTCTATCTTACTTGGGGTTATCAGAAAATGCACGTATAAGTTAATCCATATAGAGAATACGGTAGTCAATATAACTACTACACAAGGGCGTTGCATTATTCTGTGCTTATTTCACTGTTGACGCAATAGAGGGAAATTTGTAGATCAATTAAATGGGTGAGTCAGGCGTCGTTCTCTCATATCCTATATTCAATATAAGAAAGGTCAGGTGATTTTGCTGAATAGGGAATTTGCTAAACATTTATCCAATCTTGCGGAGTACAAAACATATAATCAGCTATTATCCTGCTGTAATTGTTCTTGATGCAAAAGGTGCTTTTAGCATTTCCTCTATAATCATAAAAATAGACAACGGTAGTGATTTTGGTATGCCACACACCCTGATGACGTGTTGGATCGCTGTGTTATGGATGAATACCCTTTTCAAAATGTCGCTCGCGTGTATGTCACACACACATAAACGGAAATGATGAATGAACCGGTTATCCTCACTGAGTACGACAGCAAAGATTCAAAACCTGCCACATCACCAACGAAGACTTGAAGGACGACGCTGATTCATAAGTGAAAGTTGCGTTATACCTGCAATCTTACTGCTAGTAAGTATTTTCAAATGGTTTCCATTGGCGCACATGAGACCATAATTTTATAAACTATGAACATTGTACTGTATATAACAATTGCTTTGAACATGATTCGATCCCGACAGCGCCTGACATATAGAACCCGGTCTACAAGTGTAGAAATGATGATTTAAATTCTGGGAGCAATATCGTAGCATCACTGAACTGTCATACGCCAGATTCACAGCAATTCTGCTGAATGCTTATCAAACCACACTAATGGACACATCAAGACCATTCTCAAACTGACTCAATTGGAACAAAAAAAAAAAATCAATTTTGCGTGCTCGTGATGTGACACTTGCTCTCACTGAAATCACTCATTCCACTGAATCTTATCTCAGCGTGCGCCACAGTTTATCCCAACATCCACACACCGTAGCCAGACACAATCGCCATCAATTTTGCCGATGTTACAATATTCGCTGTATGGTGTTGACCTGGTTCCTCTTTACAAGTGTTCAGTCATTAATGGAGTATTTCTGACATAGTTAGTCAGGGAAGCTCAGTAGTCACTGTTCAGAACCTTGAAAAGTGTGTTATTTGAAATCAAATGTATGTCTGTCTGTATTTATCATTTGGCTGACCAAATATCAGAATCTTATAATTCTTAAATTAACACGAGGATTTACATGGGATATTATATACTGATTTTCGAAGTCACTAGAACTGTTACCTCCTGAGAAACGGTAATTGCATGAACTGAAAACACCCTAAATTTGTAAATATGCCAATATAAACATTTATGCCTCAAAATACCAGGTAAGATAACAGCGGCCAAACGGCATCATTCAAATACTGACAGGATTTTCACCGTTCATTTAATAAGTTAACCATTGTCAATCGAACACATTGTAACGAAAGCAAAATTTTTCACTCAATCCACAATATGAATGTATGTAGTCAATGAAGCTTTACTTTCGTTAGATAAAATGCCCGAATTCTTTTGATAATATAATATTTCAGTGGTTAGGTAAGAAGTCCTTTTTTTCAAGTTTCTTGATCAATTATTTATGAACTTTAATTTTCTTAGTCAATTTTTCTACTTGTCATAAAGATCTGGTGATTTGATCAGCAAAACGATTAAAATAGTCTGTACACAAATGGACAGAATTAGGCTATTTTTCAGTGAACCATAATTTTGGTAATATGAACACAAGTAAATCTCATCAATCATCTTTTCTAGCTAATGAGAAAGTAAGTATTGTTTTAACCAGTCAACAATTTTCCATAAATGTTACTATCCAATTATCAAATCGAAGTCACTTTAGAGGAATAAACAGATTTTATAAATATTACGATTAAGTAAGATTTTTTCTTACTACAAACATTGAAATTATCTTTCAATTAAACAAAGAACGCACTCATCTTTGTTTCTATCTCAATTTCTAATAAAATGCTCTACTGTATCAACGTTTAGTTCAGGAAATCAAATATTTGATAAAATTTCTCTTTTAAATCAGGAAATTGATTAATAAATAATTTTGAAGAATATATTCCCAAGATATTAATAAAGTTAACATAGGTATAGTTAAGCAAAGATATTCTTTGTAAAAAACGCGTTTAATATTGTCAAAAATGATTCTCAAAATGAAACCAAAAAGATTTCTTCTTCATCAGTATCCCAAGTCTTTCGCTGAAGCAGATCGATTAAATATCGTCAAATCTGTCATTAGTAAAAAAAAAAAAAAAACGTAGACGATAGAAAAAAGATCAGTAAATCAAATCCTATTGTACAACGTTAAATTTTCCGAATCGCAGAAAATCAGAAAATTGATTTATTAAGAAAAATTTTAAAATAGTCGATGAAATATTTAAATATATTTTAATAGTCGATGAAAATATTAACTTTTTCTAAAATTTAAACATTAGCAAGTAATTTTATTTGTAAAATAATTTTTAAAATTTAAAATTTTAAGTTTGCAATAATATAATTTTTATAAATTCATGTTCTCCAAATAAAATAATAAAAATTTGGTTTTTAAAATAACAAGATATAATTTCTCAACATCTTGAAACAAGAATGTTATCAAATGATTTACTTATATTTTAAAAATGTCAAAATTTTATTTATTAACATATTGACAACTTTAATATTAATACATTCAAATTTTTTACAACAATTGATATATATATATACTTTTTGTATATAAATTGGACGAATTATCAACGTTTTTTTTTTTTGACTATTTTTTGTAATTTTAAATCGAAAAGTTCAAAATGAGAACATTTCAAAAGTTTTTAATTTCAATGATAATTATTTTTCTTTGGGTTTTTCTTTTTTCAACTAAAAATTGTTTTATTTGAACAATGAAACAATATTTTTCCCAATTTAAATATATATATATATATTCCATAAATTATTTTCTTTTTTTAATTTTTTTTTTCAGGATATTTCTTTCTCTTCGCATACTTGGTTTATATTTCTTGATAATTAAATCTTAATAACGTCTTTTCTTTCTCTTCGCATCTTTCTTTACTTCGCATCTTTCTTTCTCTTCGCATCTTTCTTTCTCTTCGCATCTTTCTTTCTCTTTTTTTAATCTTTCTCTTCGCATCTTTCTTTCTCTTCATAATCTTTCTTTCTCTTCGCATCTTTCTTTCTCTTCGCATAATTTCTCTTCATCACTTTCTTTTCTTCTCATCTTTATTTCTTTCATCAAAATTTTCTCTCATCACTTTCTTTCTCTCATCATTTTTCTCTCATCTTTTTTCTTTTCTTTCTCTCATCACTTTCTTTCTCTCATCAGGCTTTCTTTTTCTCATCAATTTCTTTCTCTTTCTCAAAAAGTTCTCTCATCACTTTCTTTCTCTCATCACTTTCTTTCTCTCATCACTTTCTTTCTCTCATTTTTTTCTTTTCTCATCCTTTTTTTCAAAATTTTTTCTGATCCTCACTTTCTTTCATTTTCCTTTCTTTCTCATCATTTCTTTCTCTCATCACTTTCTTTCTCTCATCACTTTCTTTCTCTCATCAAAATCTTTCTCTCATCACTTTCTTTCTCTCATCCTTTCAATCTTCACTTTCTTTCTCTCATCAGAATAAAAAAAACAATTTTTCTTTCTCTCATCAAAATTTTTTCTCATCCTTTTTTCTCACTTGTTTTTCCTCATCATTTGACTTTTTTTTCATCAGAAAATCGATGGAGTGAAAAATTAAAATGATGAAAAGAAAATCTTTTAAATTTTGTCGTCGCGTCCTAAAAATAAACATAAAATTATATATATATATATATATATAATATATAGTTAAAAAAATGACTCGCTGTTCTCACCTGCTTATACTGCCTTCATTTATGGCCACTTAAGTAATTTTCTCATTATTTTTATTAAATTCTGATTGTTTTCTCAATTTTTTGTAATTTATATGTTTTGAAAAATCTTCCTTGTTGCTTTTTGTTCTTTCTCTTCATCTGTTAAAAAAAAATGTCTAGCATAGTTTAAAAAAAAAAAAAAAAAAAAAAAAAAAAAAAAACGGGTTGGCATAAACAAGGCTTTAAAATGTTAATATTTTTTAGTAATATAAAATAAGGTCTGAGAGTAAATGTCGTAAACATTAATTAAAACAGGTGGTTAGACCTAAAAGTAAAGACATAGATTTTTTTTGATTCCATAACACAAAAAAAAAAAATCCGTCCTGTCTATTTTAAAAATAAAAGTAGGGGGATTAGATATTATGTAGCAGTTTGCCAAACTTATCTTTGATTCTAACGTGATTTTCCTAAATCTTTCACATATTTTGCTTAGGTTCTGAGTTTTTTCTTTCGTTAGTTTAATTAAGGCTTCTCATTTCTGTGCCAATTTTTCATCATCCTTTGTTACTCGACACAGGTATTTAAATTTTATTACTCTAAACTTAGGTAAACTTCACGAGATCGCTAAAAAAAAGAGCATAGCATGATGAAAAGACGCCAAACTTGACGAAAACAAAATTTTTTATCGTCTAAATGTTTGTTATTATTAAGAGGAATAACAAAGTATTTTTTGGGGTATTTTTTTCCATTTTTAATCGTTCCTAGCACGTCCGAAATTTTCCTTAAAAATCTAGTTTTTTTTGAGTCAGCAAAATTGACCATTTTTTTCCATTTAAAAAAAAAAACTGGAAATCTGACTATCATTTTTTCAAAACTTATTTTAAGAAAATCAGAAATTATAATGTTTATTTAAAATATTTTGAACCAAACTTAACTTAGCTTTTGTGCCAAAAAGATGTAATTTGAAAATAAAACAAAGCAGGTCATAAACTTTCGCGTCTCTTGACATGTGATGAATGATATATTTACGAATTCCATGAGGCTAATTTGTTATACGGAAGGAGAAAAGTGAGAAAAGTGAAATAATTTACATTTACGTGAACAAATTATTTACCTCGTCATTTTTAACGAAAACTTTCAGCGGTCTAATTTTTTTTTTTTTTTTTTTTTTTTTACTTAGCTTTCACCTTTACGTTTATGATGCTTTATGGAAAATATATTCTAAAGAAATTAAAATAAAACTGTTAAGAGTGACATTAAATTTCATATTTCTTAAGAAAGGTATCTAATTAATTTATAGGTACCTTTCTTATGAAATTTTATCAGAATTGTACATAAAATACTATAATTTTATGTACATTTATTACATTCTACTGTTATTTGTATTTGCATTCATTTTATTATTAATTTTGATATTTCATTTATGGAAAAATGTCATAACTGAGATTAATATAAAAATAAGATCATATAAATTTCATAAGATGATACTGATACTTGTAGGTACCCTTCTCAGTTGAAATTGAAAATCAAATTAACTTCTCCACACGTGTTTCATAAAAGTAAAGGCCTTAACAGCGGAGAACAATGCTTAACTCAAATAACGCAACTTAATTATATTCTGGTTGGTCTTCCGTATTTTATAATTACAGCTCGATTATAAGCACAAAATTACATTTCTTAATTACTGGGGATCTTCTGATTAGTCAAAATGATACAATTTACAACGCACTAAAAAAAGATCTATCTCATAAGGACACTTATGAAAGCCGATGCGGCTTTTAACTAATTTTATAATATTTTAACAACTTAAATGTAAAATCTATTATAATTAATGAAATAACAAATAATTGTATTAAAAATTCATTTTTCATCGAAAAAAAAATTTTTTGCTTTCAGAAAATATTGTCCATATTCATAAAAACAACTAAAAGCAAATAAAAGCATTTGAAATTAAATAATATCTTTGTTTTATTGAGTTTTGTATGTTACAATTCAGAGCTGATTTTCAGGTATTGGGTATCCAATTAAAAAAAAAAAAAAAAACATGATTTGCATTCCTCAAAGCCCTGTGCTTTTAATTATTGTAATCACTAAAACCGATGCGATCGAATTTCTAGCGTTTTCATAAAATTAGTTATGGGGGGGTAAATAAATATTTTTAAAAAATATTTCTACCATGACTTTCATAAAAAAAAATATTTTATAATAATTTCGATCATCTGTGAATAGTTCCTGAAAGTTTCATTAACATCCGATAATTATTTCTATTTTTTTGCACGATTTTTCAAATTAATGTGTGTCATACCAAAAAACGTGCTAAAAATTGTCTATTTATTTACTAGTTCCGCTGATACAAATAGAAAAAAGGTTTTTAATCAAAATTTAGAATGTTCTAAAAAGAAGGAAAAATTTTTTAAAATAATTAAAAAAAACTTTGGTCTTTCCTCTTAATAATAACATAAGCATTTAGACAATAAAATTTTGTTTTCGGCAAGGTTGGCGTCTTTTTCATCAAGCTATGCTCTTTTTTTAGCGATTTCATGGAGGTACCTAAGTAAAATTGATTTTTTAGACATTTGTAAGAAAAACAATTTTCCATTTAAAAATCTTGCAAAAATAAAATATGTATTTCTGAAACGTTATTTGAGGAAACTTAGCAAATTTAAAGTTAAGTTAATCTGATTTGAAATAAATATTACTTATAGCATAAAATACAAGCGTTTTCTAACCACGGGGTCTTGTTTTTTTTATGGTGGATTGACCGCCAAATATGTTCATAGTTAATTATGGTGTAGCAGACAATTTCATTAGGTTTTTTTTCTTCTCCACCCCTCCGTAAAATGTGGGGGGTGGGGGCAACCCTTAAAACATGTGACTTTTAAGAATAGGTTTATCGGTTTCTGCATCCATACTTCAGAAATTCTGCATCTATATACATATATAAAAATTCTTTTAAAAATAGTTGGGGTCTTCAGATTGTAATAAGCTTTAAAAATGATTAGTAAATATAGTTTTACTTAATAACAATATTCCCTGAGAATTATCAGTATGATATCTGCCATCCATTTTCTACTATAGCCTGATATCTACTATTCATTATTTTCTATGGTATGATATTTACCACCTGCTGGAAGTATAAAAGATGTTAAAAACCATTAAAGGAGTATAATAAACAGTTTGTAGTATGAAATTTATTAAAAATCATTAACACCTTATTATATAAAAAGGCAGTGAACTATAAAGTTTTTGAATCTGTTAAAAATCTTGTAAAAATTCATTTTTCATTGAAAAAATGTTTTCTTCAGACTATATTGTCTTTAATATATATTATTCAGAAAAACAGTTAAAAGCTTCTCTAATTAAATAATATCTGCGTTTTATTGTGTTTTTTATTTTTCAATTTAGAACAGATTTTCAGTTAGACTAGGTTTGATTTGAGAAAAAGAAATTGATTTAAATTCTTCAAAACTTCTGTTTTTAACTAATACAGTCACTAAAAATTATCTCGTTAAATTTCTCAAGCTTTCATAAAATTAAGAAAGTGGAAGAAACATATAAAAAAAAAAAAAAAAAAAGTTTCATTTGTTTGTGAATAAGTCCTGAAAATTTCACTAAAATCTGACAATTATTTAATTTTTGCAAGAATTTCCAAATTAATGTGTCTGTCACTACAAAAAGGTGGCAAAAAATCCTATGCTAAAAGTTAGTATAAACACTGATGGAAGAAAAACAATTTTTTTAAATAAAAATTTCGAATGTTTTAAAAAGGAGCTACAAATTTAATTAAATAACCAAAAAATACTTCCTCTTAATAATAAACATGATTTTGATGATAAAACTGTTTTCATTACATTTGGAGCATATTTTCATAATGGTATGCTGATTTTTTTTTTTTTCTTTAGCAGTTTCAACAGGTTGTCCCTAGTAATTTGATTCTTCTATATATCATGTCACTTCGGGACATAGGCAATCATGGCTCTCTACAACCTCCTATCCTTTGTAGCTCTACGTAAAGTTTGTCTTTTCGTCATCTCTCCTAATTCCTTGTTCTGTCAACCATTCATTTTTTTAAGTTATTCACTGCTTTCTCTCCTGCCTTCAATGTCCTATGAGTGTCAAATTGTCTAAGCCTTCTTTCCTGATTATGTGACCTAGAAATTTCAGTTGTCACTATCTGATTTTAAGTATAAGTATCCTTTTTGTTTCTACTTTCGTTAAAACTTCATCATTACTCAGATATTCAGTCCATGTTGTTCTCAGTATCCTTCTGTAGGACTATATTTCTGTTGCTTCAAGTCTCTTCATCTGTGAGAAGATCATCCAGCATTCACTGCCAAAGAGGAGGATTGATATAACGTAACAGTTCAGTACTCTTCTCTTTGTTTTTAATTAAATTGTCCTGTTTCTTAATACTTAGCTTTTAGAAGGCATCATTTCACTATCCCAATGTGCCTTTGGAATTTGGTGTCACATTTTCCCTCTTCTGTTAAAACTGGATAGTTAAATTTTTGTACTTGTTTGATTTTAGTGTCTCCAATTTGTAGTTTGCATCTTGGGCTGTTCCTTTAGCCAACAACCATACATTGTCTTCATACAATTGATATTTAATGCCATTAGATTATCTATTTGCAATAATGTAATTTAATTTCTTTATATTTTATTTAAGATGGGGCAGGGTAAGCTTTATGTGAGATAAATAAAAATAAAATAAATATTGAGGGACAATGAAAGCAGAAAAATTTGTTGTATATTCTATTTTGGAAATTATGAAATTCAATGTTATTGGTACTAACCTAGTGTTTCACCTTCAGTCACTTTTCCACCAACTGTAATCTATCTTCCTTGTGCTTTTTCTATAAATACTTTTATAGTAATTATTCTAATGAACTTTCCT